TGGTTAAAGACAGACAGCCTTCCGCTTTTCAGCAGCTACAATAAGGGCAGCTGGAGGAAGGCCTGTAAAAAACAGAACTGAAATCCAGCAGGGTGCTTGTCAGGTGGAATCATTTAGACCACCCTGCCTTATTATCTCTACAAAATTCTTTAACGTCCCTCACAAACGCGCTAATGTCCTCCTCAATCATGCCCCTCATCCTAGATTTTTCTCAGAAATTTCTAACAATAGCCAACGCTTAACTCCTGTGGTTTCTTAAAAAGGACAAAGAAAGAAGTCTAGTCAAGGCCATAAGACTGCGGTTTTTTCCCCTTCTCTTAAGAAACTGTCAGACAAATTTCTCAGGGAAGAACTGGAAATGAAAGGCGAGACATTGATAAATTTCCCTGCCGAACGATCAATAAAAGCCCCCCCATCCTGCCCAGACGCCCACTGTGGAAGCAGGAGCCGTAATTACATTGTCAAAAATTCCAGCTGCCCGGGCTGACAGCCACCCCCGCAAGAGTGACAGGTGATTGGCACTCGGTTCGGGGTGGTGGGGCGGGATTGGCAGCCAGGGTGGTGAAGGCAGCAAGGTGGAGTGAAATTTCTTTATTGACCACAAACCACCCAGCTCTCCGTGCTGGAGGGCTCCTGAGCCCCCGCCTCCTGTCTGTAGCTCGGTGGGCAGCAAAGGACCTGCACTCCACCCAGGGTTCAGAGCATGTCTGGTCCCTGTCCACTCCCCAAGAGAAAAAGAAAGACATCACTGCTCGTACATGCGCGCGCGTGCACGGGCGTGGACACACAGATGTACGTGTACGTGAGTGTGTGAGCATGTGAGAATACTTCTGTGGCTCCCGCGTTCTTTGTGACTGCAGAGTGGCAAAGTCTGATTGTGTAGTGACCGGATCTCTTTAGGGGGTCGGCCAGCCCAGGCGTGTTCGAAAGAGCGAGTGTGAACGCAGGCAGGGGCAGGGGCGTGTGTGATGGTCAACATGCTCAGAGTCCTGCCGGTGATTCTAGGGGACCCGAGCTAGAGCGGAGACCCAACGCCATCCATCATGGCTACAGGACGTGAAGAATCCAGTCTGCGGAGGCTGACCGGGCTGGGCACCTCCTTGCTTCTGGCTGTGCCAGGGCCCTGACGAGTAGTTTCCAAGAAGAGCTGATTAGAATCACACCCGAGAGTCGGGGCTGTCCTGTGCTACTTGAGAGATTGGAATCTAAAGGCGCCCCGTGGGCGGCAGGAACAGAACAGAAGGTGCCTGGGAGCCCAGTGCACAGGAACGCCGTGGCCTGAGCACCGCAAGGCCAGGTGTGCTCTGACTGGCACACAAGGTACAGCGGGCCCCTGGCGGATTCTGAAACGCACGCCTCATCCCCAACCAAGCTGGCCTCACGTCTACAGAGTAAGAAGGAGAGCACTGGCTCTGCCTACCCAGGGGTGGACAAAGAATGATGAATAGAGTAAGCACCGACCCTGACGGTGCATCCTCGCACCCAGCGCTGCTGGGAACGCCTCAGCTGGTTCAGGCTGTGTCTGGGGCTTTATAGAGGCTAATACATCCATAGGTCGCAGCTGAGACCAGGACAATAGCCACTCTCCTCTGTGCACCTCCACGTACGCTCACGGGATCACACTCAACAGCCACATGCCTGTGGCCAGCCCCAGCCCGATGAGTCACACTGTGAGATGACACACAGAGGCCCTGATTCACCAACTCTCACCAGGAAGGGGTTTTTGTGGAACCAAGCTGGAGAATTTCCTCTCTATCCAAGACGGTCAATCGCGTTGCTCACTCGTGTGCATATTTGACAGCAAGAGAAAAGCAGTTTTTCCACAAAGCCCTGGTGTCACACCAGACAGCCCATCCTCTGGCCCTGGTGAGGCCCATGAATCAGGTCATGATTCGGCCATGCTCTGCCACCTCCTGAAGGGGGGATCTAAGCCAGGGTCCCTCATGACCGTGACGCTCAGGCTGTGTCCGGAAGGATCCGCCACCCGTCCTGACAGCCGAGCCTCTTCTACACAGTACTTCTTTCAAATAAATGACATGGGGCCACATCTTTGGAGAGAAGAAATGGCTTGATGTCGCCCGTGCCCTGTGTGGCGGTCGCTGCCACAGGAGAGGCCTAGAGAATGAATGGCTTCAACGGCAGTTGGTGACAGGTCTGAAGAGAAAGTGGGCAGGTGGAAGAGGAAGAGAGGGGAAAGGCAATGAAGAGGAAGCAGAATGTAAGAGGAGAAAAGGGAAAGAGGATGGAAATGAGAGACAAAGAGGGAGAGGACGCCATCCTCAATATCCAAGAAGATCACACAGGTAGGGTTGCCTTTTCTTCAACTACCAGCGCTCCCAAAATATCTTAAAGCAGCTACTCTGCTTTAATTGTGGTCTAGGGCAGTAAGGAGTGGCACTAGAGATTGTCTTTCTTTTGAATTCCTTTCATTGACTCTGGACCTCATTCTTGCTCAGGGATCCACGCTGCCACTTGAGCACACCCTGGCCCTTCTTTATTTTTCAGATAGGGTCTCTAGATCTTTTCCCCCCTGGGCTAGGCTTGAACTACCATCCTCCAGATCTCCACCTCTTGAGAGGCTGGGCCGACAGGCACGGGCCATCACACCCAACTAGCAGTAGGTGTTTTCTTAACTTGAACTTTTTTAATGATATTGATATAGAGCCTTGCGCTTGCTAGGCAAGGAGCTCTACCGCTTGGGCCATACGTAACTCCAGCCATTTTCTTTCCGTTATTTTTAGGAGACAGCTTAGAGTTTATACCCAGGCCTACCTAGACCAAAATTCTCCCCTTTCTGCTTCCCAGGTCCCTGGGGTCACACAGCACTTCTCCCAGCCTTTGCCTGGGATGGAGTGGAGTGGGGAGGCCGGGAATGAAGAGGTGAGGGTGGGGGGCGGGGGCTCTTGGTAACTTTTCGCCCAGGCTGGCCTCATACCAAAATCCTCCTGATCTCTGACTTCCAAGTAGCTAGGATTTCAAGCAGGAGCCAATATCAGCAACCTGATATTTTCTAAACTGCAAAGGCTTGCAAGCATGAGGTATGTTTAAACTATTAGCACACACTTACTGATCCTCCATAACTGAGCAAGAATGAGACTAAGAATAAACTACAGCAAAAGAGGCTCAGTAAAGGAACGGGGAGGGTGAATACCCCCTACACACACCACCACCAGTACCACCATCATTTGAATTCGAATTTCCACCAGGAGCTGAGCCATCAGCATTGCCCTGCACAGTGGCTCTGAAGCCTAAGAGCCCTGTGGGACCACAGGTCCTCAGCAAGGGCTGCAGCCTGGCTGAAATCCCCATCCAGGTCTTCTTGTTCCAGGAATGTGGCTCAGTGACAAACAACAGCACAGCCATCAGTATGGGCGCCCACGTGGCCACCATACCAGCGAGCAGCCACGGATCGCGGGCTGTTAGGTCGATGTAGACAGGGAAAAGCAGACCTCCTGGAAGTGGAACGGAAGCAAACCACAGCCTGGGAATGCTGCATTTCCACCCAGATGGTTCTGGGCTCTTTAACCTCTTAGAATGTAATCTTCAGAGTGCAGCACAGGGCCTGGCGCACAGTGCTCATGTGAGAAATACGGAAGGGAGATGGTGATTCCTCCTAGAAATTACACAGAGGGAAGAGGGGACATTTCGCGACCTGGATCAGAGTCTAAAGCATGTCACGGACAGAGACAGAGACAAGCGAGAGTCAGCTCCCCTTGCACAGCTGTGAGTCCCTATCTAGAAGTGTGACTCTGCAGTAGTAGGGGGGGAGGTTGTCACACCAATTAATTTTTAAAATTCTATGCAAACGATATCATGTGTTCTGGAGGTACCGGAGCTGCCACTCGAAGGCATCTTTGGCTCATGCTGTTCATCCAAGAGGAGGTAAAAGTCCACGGAAACAGACTCCACATTCATTCCACTTGTACATTTCCAGTTGGGACTATGGTCCTTAGTTTAGTCTCCCTTTAGATCTCTGTGTAGCCAGCCCAGATTGGCCTTGAACTCCTGTTCACTCCTGTCTTCACTTCCCAAGTGCTGAGATTACAGATACGTGCTACCACACTAGGCCTAGCAGGCTTACTAGTATTTTCCTGAATCCTAAAGGGAAAAATAATGTTTATTTCTATAAAGTGGAAGTAAGTGATAAGAAGGCAAATGAGCTTGAAACATAAACCTATGGTAGCCCTATTTTTTCCCAGGAACCCATCAACACCTAACCCATCTGCAAGGAGATTTTGAGTGAAACGTTAACTGAACTCTGGCCCAGAGGGATGACGGGGTTGGAAGGGAAGAGCTCAAAGGTGACAGAGAAACGAAGCTGTCTTTACTGGGTCTGTGACGCCGGGACATTATGAACACTAGCCAAGTCACTGGCTGCTTTTGCCTGGGTCAACAGTGCAAATCTCAATGACTTAAAAACCGGAGGCATCGCTCTTTACACACACACACACACACACACACACACACACACACACACACACACACACACACACACACACACACACACACACACACACACACACACACACACACACACGGCAGCAGCCATCATCTTCATTCAGGCTGAAGCTGAAGGAACTGCGCCCAAGCTAGAACAAGCTATTCTCAAGTCTAGGAAAAGAGTCAATGGCTGAATCGCTACCGCCCGAACATGTCCACCGGCTGGCAGCACACCATCTCCACTCACAGTCCACCAACCAGAGCCAATCTACAACTAAAAACATGTTCCATGGGCAGGGCATGTGGCCAGCACACAGAGAGGCACTGAGGCCGGCAGTGGACACAGGTCCAGTCCTGCAGGGAGGGGAGAAAATAACTGGGCACCACAGCCCGGCCAGTCTTTCCATTTGTGCATTAATAAAACAGTGCCCCACGCCAACTGACCTGTTGCCACAGCATCGAATTCCAAAGTTTCAAAAAAAGAGCTTTATCCATTTCCAACGCCCAAACGTGGGTTAGGCATGGTCCAATTTCATTCTCCTGGTCAAACGCACACTCACCATGCAGGGCAAGGGTTCCATTGCGCAAAGCCAGGAACTTGACGCCATAGGGGTGGAAGGGCGTTGAGTGGGAACTCCCGTGGAGAGTGATCTGAGCCGTGCCTTCAAAGGGTTTGTCCTCCGTTCCGATCCGGAGCTCTCCGCCATCAGAAATGAGAATGGAGTGGGCCCTGAGCTCGATGGGACCTGGGCCTAGGACAATGAGCTTCCCTCCTGCGGGAGGAAGGGGAGACGTCAGGCACTGGAGGAGGGCTCACCCCACTTTGACTGGCCCCATGTCTGGTGAAATCGCCTCGCTTATTAATTTCACAAAGTTAAGCTCGCTTCATCTGGAACTCTCTTCTGAGAGGCACAGGGTAGATCAGCTAGCCAAGCACAGAAGCACTGCATCTCCACAAGGGCGTGGATTAATAGCACTGTTGGCTGCAGGTTTGCTGATAGTATTTTTCACTGAAGTCGCCGAACTGCTGAGCAACTTAGGACTGGTTAAAGAAAAGCTTAGAAAGCCAGTAACTTTGCCATTTACCAACAGAATGAGAATATCACTCAAAAGTAAGCTTAAAAAGCTGGGAGACAAATAAATGCACAAAAGTGCTCATAGAAAAGTATGCACCAGAGAGACAGGCATGATAATATAGGCCAGTGAGCAGAGGGGAGCAGGGCGGCCTCCGGCATCCATCTTCTGAGAACAAACACATCCTTCCCCAAAGTTCTGCCTCCATTGAGAGGAGAGAGAGGGCTGTCAATCAAGGCTTCTACAGGAAGAGGGCTCAAACAGGGAGACAGGAAGTGCTTAGGAAGACAGGAAGTGGTTTAGAAAGATAGACCCATGGAGATATTGTAAGGAGTCTAGGAGTTTTGAATGCCCCAGTGGCTAGTTACTTCTACTTATATCCATTGTTCACTGACGCAGTAATACCTTCTCAATAAATTTCCTTTTAGAGAAATACTGCTTTGTGTTACTGACAACCAAACAACCTTAACCAGTCACCAGTACCATTCTGTTTGAACTCACAAATGTTCTGGTAACATAGGAGTATAATTTCATACAATTATTTTATTGTGAAAGTAACTATAATTAAATGCTTAGAAATAAACATTTAGTCAAAATAATAATGATATAATAAAACAAAAATAGTTTCAGTTTTATAATACCTTTCCTTTAGAGGATGCAGAGCATTCTTTACATTTCACAGAATTTTCTTAACAATTTCAAGAAAAGCAAAGCATCGCATATAAACACTTTAACATAAATGAACTATAAAATCTGTCTCCCTGAAATAAGTGGTTTGAGTATGACTTGTCAAAGCATGCATGGATTTGCTCTCCAAAGTCTTACATGGACAAGAATTAAGAGAAAGTACACACTTAACTCTGAGTATGGCGATTAGAGGAAGGGCCTGTGGAAAGTAATTAAAATAGACTAGATCCTGAGAGCTGAATGGTTGTTTTATAAGGAGAAAAAGAGAGACCACACAGTCGGATACATACATGTTAGAGAAACACAAGAGCTTATACCATGCTATGTAGACACGTGAGCCAAAATGAACCTCTTTTCTTTATAAAGTTACCTGCCTCGGGTACTCCATTATGGTAGCAGTGTTAACCAATACGTTGTCCAAACACATTGGCCTGCCTGTTAGTTTTCAAAACAAGCTTCCAAACCTGTGGACGTGCTTTTCTTTTAATATTCCAAAATGCTTTTTGTAGATATTCCTGTGTCTCGTTCCCCCTTGTTTCTATTCAAGTGTTAACTTCTCTCTTAAGCATTCCCTCTGATCCACACAAAACAGCATGCTCTAGATCCTTACTGCTGTATTTTCCTTCACAACATGACATCTGACATGCTACGCATTTGCACGTTGGTTGGCCCTCTCTTGCCTAGAATGGATGCTTCATGCAGGTAATTATTTGTTTCGCTCACTTTGTCAGCTCCCAATGTCTCGAACAGTACCTGGTAGGTGTTTGGAACTCGATCCATGGTTGTTAAGTGAATGAATATGGGACTGAACATTTTTGGAGAATCTGATATAAGTACCCGAAGGTCTTCTTATAGAAACACTCACATGGGCTGGGAAGATGGCTCAGTGGTAGAGCGCTTACCTTGCATGCATGAGACCCTGGGTTCAATTCCTCTGTACCACATAAGCAGAAAAAGCTGGAGAAGTGGGTAATGTGGCTCAAGTGGTAGAGAGCTAGCCTTGAGCTGAAGAGCTGAGGGACAGCGCCCAGGCCCAGAGCTCAGGCCCCACAACCAACAAAAAAAGAAAAAAAAAAGAAACACTCACATGTACTCTGACTCCCATTTTCTCAGGAAGAATGTTGTTGCTACATTTAATCTAAAAATGGCATCCACAATCCCAATGAGCTGACGATAGGCAAGGAGGTAGACAGAATGCTGTTAGAATGGCTTCCCAACCAGAGGGAGAGAAGGAAAAGGCTTCGCTGCTGTTGGTTACCTTTGTTCTCCTCGTTTAGGACAGAGATAGTGACTGATAAATGGGAAGGCCCCTTCTCTGCTGACTTGCTCTATGACCTTCCAGCTTTCCTTGGTTCTCTTCACCAGGGTCTACTGTCTTCTACCCCAAAGCCGTCGGAGGGCAGTCGCAGGACGTTTTCTGGGCTGAGCCCTGTGCTCTGCTCAGCCTTGGTTTAGGCATTCCCCACCTCGATGCCGGCTTATCCCTCTGTATGGCGGATAGAGGAGTTGCTCCCTGGGAGAACTGTGGTGAGATTTGTTGAAGCAATGGGTGCAGGTCCCTGCTCGGAGATCTGATGTCAATTTAACAGTTTGGGCAGCACTGCCTCATTCACCCCTCAAGCTCTGCTTCCTCTTTGGGCGCCATCGGCCTGCCTGCTTCCTGCATTTGCCCCGGCACTTCAGTTCCAATCAGCCCTCAACTTCCAACATCTCACTGTGGCTACATTCACTTCCCTTTTGGATTATAGCATATGTATAATTTACCCCAGAAGGGAATCAAACAAACTATCTAAGGAACAAAGGACTCGTCTTCATCCCAATACCAAAGCTAGCACTGCTCACTGGGCTTTCAAATGGGTCCACTAGCAATGGGACTTTAAGTTTCCTTTCCATTGTCACTGCCCCTAGAAATGGAGCCGTGAACATTGTACCCACCGGGGACAAGAAGGGAAAGAGGCAGCACAGGGAAGTTCACTTATTTGTGTTGAATTCTTCACTGCTGTCACTAATACCCTAGTTCATATTCTGTCTGGGCACAGTAATTACACACAACTGTCACCCCAGCTTCTGGGGCTACCAGCCTATGGGAGGAGAGTTACAATCTGAAACCCAGCCTCATGCAAAAACACAAGATCTGACTGGAAAAGTAACTAACTCAAAAACTGCTAGGAGCGTGGCTCACGTGGTAGAGTACTATCCTAGCAAGAGGGAGGCCCTGAGTTCAAATCCCAGTATCACCAACAAGAAAAAAGAGATGACATTTTATCCATTTTTACAACCCTTCCCATTTCCACAAACTTACCCTGGTAGCCCTTTTTTTAAAAAAAATTAGGGTTGTTTACATAGTTACATTTAAGGAAAAACATGTGTTATCCTAAGTAAATTTGCCTATGGCTTGTTTGTACTTTAATTTTGTTAATGGATATATACCTCGCCTCATTCCGAAAAGGATTTAAAGCAGATTACAAGGATTAGTGAGTAAATAGATAAACATGGGCTTTGTGCCTTGCACCATTAATTTAATATGAAATACACCAAAACAAATTGGTAGGAATTTTTCAACCTGGTTTACTGACAGGAACTACAAATGATGTTAATGAAAAGAGAAGAGAATCAAAGAAAACAAATGATTTGTGCTGTCCAGAGTGCCTTACACAGGCTGAATTAATTAATATGAACATCACCAACCCTGCTAGAATACATATCCTCACTGGGTGCATTAAGAAAAGCGTATGGTCATATGCACATAGCTAGTGAGCCATTGTGATCCTCTCCTATGAATATCCTCCTCGGTTCTCAGTGTGCTGCTTAATCAATCATGTCCAAGTGTAAATTACTTGTCTTTTACTGTCCATTGGATTTCTAGACATATTCTAATTATTGCAAATGAGGAAAAACATGCAGCCTAGATTTCTTTGGGTCTGGCTTACTTCACTTAATATAATTTTTCCAAGTCTTATCAAAACAAACTCCAAGAAATGGAAACGAGAGGTTTGTTGTTGTTGTTGTTTTATAAATTGTACTGTTTGCAATTATTTCTTTTTTCTTTCTTTTTTCTCCTTTGGTTTATTCCATGTTATCACTGTTTTTGGTTTCTGAACCCTTTCTCTTGTATAAAAGTTTACCTGATTTGGGGAAGGTACGGGGGAATTACAGAAATGGTGTGACAAAGGGTGAACCTATGCAACAGTGATGCTCACTAGACACTATGTTGGAAATGAACTGTACAACTTGGGGGTCAGGGGAGTCGAGAGGGGAAAAAGTGGGAGAAAACGAAGGAAGGGCAACACTTTTCAAAACAGCAATGTACTCATTACCTGACTTATGTAACAGTAACCCCTCTATACATCACCTTTAAAGTTAAAAAGATTTTTAAGACAGAAACCAGTGATCCATGAATATGAACAGTGACAGGAGAAAAGGAGTGTATGATGAGGAATTCGCTTCTTGCTGCCTGAAATGATTACAGGCAATCTCCAGAGGTAAGATTCTACTTTGGGTGAAAGAATATTACATTTATACTGAATGGAGCTGCATGCCACAGCCTGGAGATTTCCATTCTCACTTAAATACACCACAGGCTGCCTCGGAGGACAGTTGCTTGAATGTGGGATGGCAGAGACTTTCTTCCTTTCTCCACTGGCTACAGCTTGGCTCTGTTTCTGAAAGCTAAAACAAACTGAAGTCAGACGCTGGCAAAACGCTTCCGTGCTTCCTGCGACTTTCCTGAGAGCTGATGACGCCCCACACGTGACTTTCGGTAATTTTATATTAAAAAAAATCAATCAACCATCATTATTGCTACTTCCCCTCTGAGATAAACAAACGCGACTTTTTACACGTAGTCACTTATTTCCATAAAAATACATTGCTTTTTTAGTTCTTTCAAAGGGAAGTAAAAGAGGCTTCCAGCAGCTAGCCACTGCTCGCCAAGTACATCAAAACCCACGCTGGGATAACCCTACAATCAGCCATCCCTGGTGACGACCACAGAATAATCTGTTGTGGTTTG